AAAGGTAATTTTGTTGCATTAATAATGTTACATTAACAATGAATAAATAAAATATTTCATGGTTGTATTATTTGTGGATACAAATGGGTAAAAGTAAAGCCCCTAGATTTTGTGATGTGCCAGAGGCGCGATAAAAACAAACCGAAACATAAATTGCAAACATATATGGAAATGAGTCTGTATATAATATTTAACAACAACACATGTTGAAAAGCGCGCATGGAGGAGAAATGAAAATATAAAATTCGAATTAATCAGGTTTAAATGTATTATTCATCCGTATCTTAGCGTTTTAAAAGAGTCACAAAAAGGTCTCTTCAGCGTTCGGTACTAATAAATAATTATTGTAAGAAGTGTTCAGGCACTCACCATCTGGCGAAGTTTGCACGCCGCTCTTTACAAGTTTATCGTTGCTGGAATTATCGTTCAGATGCTCGCCGCCCGCTCCGCTCCCAGAAGAGCCGCTTCCACTGCCCAGGCCGCCGCCCACGCCCATCATGGCATTGCTGTTGGGTACGCTGTTGACGGCGCCGATGCCACTGTTACTGCCCACCAGTCCCACGTGGGACCCGCCGACAACTCCGCTGGCTGCATTGCCGCCGACTCCTCCGCCTCCTGAGCTACCAGCTCCTCCGCCGCCGCCCACTGCCAAGCCCCCAATACCACTACCAACGGCACCGAGACCATTGCCGCCTACAACGCCGACGTTGGAACCGCTGCTACCGCTCGCTGATCCGCTGACCACTATTGAATTCATCGGCTTTTCCGTGCCGTCCAAGTGGTTCTCTGTTGACGCACCACCGGAGCCTCCTGTTCCGCCGACGCTCCCCACCGCGTTCGTTGTGCCGTCCGAGTTTTGGGTGCCCGGTAACGCAGGGAAGTCCTCGTTAGACATCGTGAACTCCGATTGCTCTGACGTCGGTTGCTTCACCATGCCAACTAAAATCAGAAGAGGAGTGAGAAGGTCGCCCAAGGAAAATGAGTAAAGCGAAGAAATTACGTACTAAAGCAGTTAAATAACTCGTTTTTCTTTCTATAATAGAAGCGCGGAAAAGATGCAGCAACCAATTTAAATCAATGATAAGGTCTAAAAAGCATTTGCACATTTAAAACGCAAAGTTCTTAGGTATTTTACTGTAAATTTACCTATACACGAACTTAAAAGGTTAAGTCGCTTTCATTATGTGAACAGTTTCTTTATATTCATCGATCATAAGAGAATATTTGGAAAATTGTACGTTATAAAGTAAATGATTGGATATATAAAGATATCGTATCCATTAGCCAACATTTTTAGCACATTTCATTTCAAATTTGAATTTCCAAAAACATTTCTGATTCCATTGGTCGACCAGCGTAGTTGAAGTTTGCCATACCCAAACCACCACCCGAGATTAGTCACAAATACAGCGTAGCATAACTAAGTGGGCGCAATGAGCTGATCACAAGACACCACACACAACCAATTCTTAATCGTAATTTTAAAAACACAAATAAATAAAAAGAAGTGGATTTTGATTTGAACTCACAAGAGGTAAAGAAATTACCATAAGGTTTGCTGCCCGGCGGCTGGAGCGGATTCGATTGGGGCAGTGTCTGGTCGTTCTGGCCGCGCGCATTCGTCAGCGAGGGGAACTCCGTGGGATCGAGCAGGGCAGGCGTGGAGGTATCGCTCCCACCGCCGCCGCCGAACACGTGGAAGTTATTCAAAGGACCGCCACCGCCTCCACCCGTTCCGTAGCCGCCGCGACCCGTCTGCATGAAGTTGCCCATGTTCGACTGCGTAAAGAAATTATTATTAGCCAAGTCTCTACAAATTGTTATTTAATTATGGCTAACATCTCCAACTCTATCTAATAGATTACACATTTTTTATGTAATCTGAGTCTGTAATCTCTGGAGGTATCGTATAATCTGTGCTGATGTTTTTTATATACAAACTTGATCGATATTGTTAGATGTTTTAAATCAGAAATTGTGACATGACCGAGTTGGAGGAGGTAGACTTGGTTGTAATGCTGCGCTGCTTACCATGGGGCCACTTCCCAATCCTTGCATGGCTCGCCGCTCCACAAACTGTCGCTGGCCGAAGAGGTTGGCGTTCCGGTTGCCGCTCGAGATGGCGGGTCCGCCGACCGACAGCTGGGCATTCCGGTTCGGTGACAGTTGAGGCTGCTGCTGCTGTTGTTGCTGCTGCTGCGGCGCCTGACCGTAGTTCGGCGTTCCTGGATAGGAGTTGGCGAAGTCTATGGCAACAAATGTGCGTTGGTACTCCGTCAAAAGCTTTGGGTTACAACTGCTTACCGGTTTGAAACATTCCCGAAGTGGGCGTCACATGGCCAGCCAGGGAGCTACCACCGAACCCGCCTGTTGTCCGGCCAGCTAACGCCGCGTTCGCTATACTTCTCGGGGGTTGTTGAAAATTTAAATTCGCCATAATCTGCAATGGAAGGGGTGTCGATTAGGCTGTGGCACTGCGTCGACATCGAAGTATCACTTAAACAGTCATTTGTAATGGTTAACGGATTTCCTATTGGCAACATCTGATTTTTTTTAAATGCTCCCAACGATCTGTAACCATTGTAAGTCCTGATATAACTTATTCATACTTCCACTTCTTGGGCTTTTTAAGTTCAAACAAAAATACCTATATTTTGGAGATTGCTGCACATTACATAACATTACGGTTAAAAAAAAGTGCATGGGAATACGCTGGATGATTTCCAATTACTAATAGCATCCAGAAACAAACATAATTACTCGGAGCCATCTCCGCAGTAAACAGAGAACTGATGTTAAATGTCTGATTCAGGGAAATTCTACGCCTATAAACAATAGTTTACAATAAAAATAAAAACTGTCTGACTCAGTGGAGGGGGGCTATAATGATAACAAATCGGCTCCCCGCAGATAATTGTCGCACACTAAATGCGAGCATATGCGTATTAAGCAAACAATCCAGCAACCTTTTGGGTTAGGAGCTTCGAGCCATATATAGGTAATGTTATCTTCACTGCAAGAGGGGGGATGCAAAAAAAGGGCGACCATCAATAGTATAGCTATAAACAAAATTGCCCGCGCCAAGTGAATCCGTTAAATGGCCGATGCATCAGCTGTCGATTGGCGAATTCGAACAGCAAACAAAGCAGAAGGAGAAAAAAAAGAGTAAATTAAGAGGGAGAGCAAGAAGGTGGAGAAAGAGAAACACAGGCAGAAAGGCTGCGGTAATTATTGCCGTTCCTTTTTGTGGTGGGCACACATGCCCAGTCCGTGTGGATAAGATGGAGACCAAGACAATGGTGATGGTGTGGGTGAGAAAACCAGAATGACTGCCACCAGGATGCGGGGGAGTGGCAGAAGAGCGGGGCGAGTGCAAAAGGATATACGCCTTAACTTGTGCCTCGATCAATTATGCAGGTAATGGTCAGTGCAGTAAAGTGCAGAGAAAAAATGTGTACAGTAAAAATACTTTTAAAATTCGCAAAGCTTTATGCATTATTTCCACTACGGCCAATTTAAGGATTAATAAATGTGGTAATGGTATGCCATAAAATTTTCAGTTAGGTTCTGATGCTGCTTGCTAGTACCATTATATGTAAATAACACTAGTAGTATGTTGATATACATACGTTTTTTTGTTTTATCTTATCGGAACTTCATTGTGCTAAACTCCTCTGGAGAATTATACTCGCACAGGATATTATCGCTCCCCTTAATTTCGTCGGAGCTAATCTCACTGGAATATGAAAGCTGGGTAATGATAATTCCCTGTGGGGAATTTATCAGTCTAGCTGCCGATTCGATCGCTGTTTTACCTGCGCGCATGTAACTTTATCAGCTGACCCAACGACTGCTTCGCAACACTGGCGCCCGCGCTTACAAAAAAATCACTGGCTTGCGAAAACTCTCGGGCCAAGTAAAGCATTTAACCTTGGGCGATTCAGCAAGTACAAAAAAAGAACAACGAATCTAAAAGGAGGGCTGCGCAACTTACCTAAATAAACGTTAGATGATACTGTCGCTTCTTGCTCTTCCACTGTTAACGCTCGCTTTCCACTCTGTCCAGAAACAACAACATACACTGATCGGATCGTTCTCACCGCATTTAACATTCCAAAGCGGCCGGCGGGACGAGGACGTGGGAGTCGTTGTCCTGGCGCCGTAACCGTAACTGTGACGGATCACGGATCGGCGAAGCAGCAGGAATATGAAAATCCGCTAATTCCTACTGGGCAGCAGTTGGTTAGCTGTGGCTATCTCGCTCTCTAGCACTCACTCGCTGGTAGCTTGAAGGATGCAACGTAGAAACGGGAACTAGGACTGTAGCGGGAGCGAGGTTAGTTAGTACTTTTCCGCGCCGAGTTGTCCCTAAATAAATGGCATATATACCGCTGTAGGTGTGTACATATGTATATGTGCCTCGTCTGTATGCAGCGTGGTCTTCGTGCCGAAGAGACAGCGAGCGAGAGAGGAGAGTCGAAGGATGTTGATGCCTGTCGGAGGCTGTCCGTTTTTTCTGCGCCGCTCTTGCGACCACTGTAGTTTCTATATTCACGCTTATGCAAATGTCGCGCACGTTGCACTCTACCGATTGGATTGGGTTCTTGGTTTTTGGTAATGTTTCCTTTTTGTATTTTATTTGTAAGTAAATAATCGCTCGCTATTGCGCTGTTGTCTCTGCTTCTTTCTACACTGCTGCACAAGCACTGTGTCTGTGACCCTGTGCGTGTGTTTGTGTGTGTGTCTGTCTTTGTTTTCTCAGTTCATTGAAATTTCACCCGAAGCAGCGAATTGGGCAAATTCTCTGTTGGATTTGCGCGTCTTTTACGCCGCCGACCCGCAAATGCACTCGAACTTAATGGAGCCGGGTCCTTACAATCTACTATCGAGGGGCAGTAGACAATTCTTTAGCGCCCGAAATGGCTTTAAATTGTACACAAAAAATGTTCCGCAAAAAACTTTGTGGCTGTCACGAATACAAACACACAGAAATTAGGGATGTAAAAATTTGCTATCGATGCAGCGCTGGTATCGATAGTCGCTGGTCTTCAACCAGAAGGTTTGGTGCATTGTTTTCTTTATATTTCAAAGAATATTTGAATTATTTTCTTTGTAGATTAAAATTTTAATTACCTTTGCTATTAGTAATATAGTTGTTTACTTTTAATCGATAGACAAAAACAGTTATTGGGCTGCCATCTGGTGTGCCTATGCAAAGACCTCCTTGCGTATTTTAGTTATCGATTAGTGTGAAAGTGCCAAGGCCTCCCAAACTCAACTTTGTTGCCCGGCTGCGAATTACCTTCATTGCAGATTTTCTGATTTTAACGCGAATTAACTTGGCATTATGGGTAGCCATAACTCGGACGATGACAGTGGTAAGTGGCTAATGGTTTGCTCCCGTCCTGAGCAACTACTATTTTCACTGTTTACATATGTAGGTTCCTCCGGTTCGAGTCGAAGTGGAAGCCGAAGTGTCACGCCGCAAGGAGGCAGTGCACCCGGGTAACTTTTTGATATTTGAACACAGCGATGAGAGAATGCTGATTGCTTTCTTTGTTTTCCAGATCCCCACGCAGTCGGAAGTCAGGTAGTGGAAGCGATCGTTCCCGCTCGGGCTCCAGGTCTTCCCGATCCCGGTCCGGCTCAGGGTCCCCGCGTAGCGCCAGGTCCGGGTCTGCACAAAGCCGCCACAGCCAGCGGTCTGGTTCCGCTCGTAGTAAGAGATCAAGATCTATTCACAGTCGCAGGTCGGGATCAGCCCATAGCCGTAAATCTGGAACTCCGGGATCTCCACAAAGTCACAGATCGGGTTCGCCGCAAAGTCGCAAGTCTGGATCGCCTCATAGTCGTAGATCTGGCTCTCCTCAAAGTCGCAAATCGGGTTCTCCACACAGCCGCAGATCAGGATCTCCTCACACCCAGAGATCGGGATCCCCTCGGAGTCGTAAATCTGGTTCAGCACAAAGTGCCCGCTCTCGATCCAGGTCTCATAGCGGTACACACAAGGGTAGTGGCAACGAGGAATCGCGGTCCAATTCGCCCAATTTGCAAATTGACGATGAGCGTGCCAATTCCAAGAGCGGTAGTCGCAGCAGAAGTAGGAGCAGGAGTGGCAGTCGCACTTCCAGATCGCGCTCCAAGACGGGCACGCCGTCGCCTAATAGAAGCCGTAGTCGCAGCGGATCCGGGTCCGGCAGCGATATTAGTGTGTCCAAAAAGAAGGCACGCAAGGCGAGTGGCTCTGATCAAGGGAAGAACAAGAGCGGCAGCGATAGCGATATGGAGGAATCACCCACCAAAGCTAAGAAATCACGGCTTATCGACAGTGACAGCGAGTCTGATCAGGATGAGGTAAGGCGCACTCTGGACTACTTTAATATATTGTTATTTAACTAGTTATATATTTATGGAAAAATAATCCTGATTTGGTCTTGTATACTTTGCTTACTCAGACATTTTAATCTTCCAGGCCAAGAAAGCTCCGGCTGCAGCTGACATATTTGGAGATGCCGATGATATTAGTGACGATGAGGAGGAGGCTGGAGCAGCCACCAGAAAATCCCCGGTACGCTCCAAGAGCCGCAGTCGAAGCAGGTCCCGCTCCCGCAGTCGTTCGATAAGCCGTTCACGTTCCCGCTCAAGATCGCGATCGCGGGATAAAGTTGAGAGCCAGGTAGAACCGGCGCCCAAGGAGGACGAACCTGAACCGCTTCCGGAGACCCGAATCGATGTAGAGATTCCGCGCATCTCTGCAGACCTAGGAAAAGAACAACACTTCATCAAGCTTCCCAACTTTTTGTCAGTGGTCACGCATCCTTTTGATCCTGAAACTTACGAAGATGAGATTGATGAAGAGGAGACAATGGACGAGGAGGGCAGGCAGCGCATCAAGCTCAAAGTGAGCAACACGATCCGATGGCGAGAGTTCATGGACAACAAGGGCGATATGGTGCGCGAGTCTAACGCGCGATTCGTGCGCTGGTCCGACGGCAGCATGTCCCTTCATTTGGGCAACGAGATCTTCGACGCCTACAGGCAGCCGCTTCTAGGTGACCATAACCATCTGTTCGTCCGCCAAGGTACGGGTCTGCAAGGCCAGTCAGTCTTCAGGACCAAGCTCACTTTCCGTCCTCATTCCACGGAGTCATTCACGCACAAGAAGATGACCATGTCGCTGGCCGATCGATCCAGCAAGACCAGTGGTATTAAGATCCTGACGCAGGTGGGCAAGGATCCCACCACGGATAGGCCCACGCAGCTCAAGGAGGAGGAGGCCAAGCTGCGCCAGGCGATGCGCAATCAGCACAAGGCGCAGCCCAAGAAGAAGAAACCGGGCGCGGGGGAACCACTGCTTGGAGGCGGCACCTCGTCTTACCAGCACGACGATGGCAGCGATGATGACAATGCCATCAGCTTGAGTGCAATCAAGAACCGGTACAAGAAGGGTGGCGGTGCCGGCCAGGCAGAGGTGAAGGCATCCACGATCTACTCCTCGGATGAGGACGAGGGCTCCGACTTCGAAGCGCGTCGCAGCAAGAAGGTGGACAAGGCCAAGGCCAGCAAGGCGCTGCGTGACTCCGACAGCGAATCGGACGCCGGCAGCGTCAAGAGCGGCCACAGTAACAAGGGCGGTGGAGGAGGCAGCCCCAGCGGCAGCGACAATGAAGGCAGCCAGAAGAGCGGCGGCGGCAGCAGCAAGTCGGGCAGTGGAAGCGGCAGTGGCAGTGGCTCCGGCAGCGGTTCGGGCAGTGACAACGATGATTAGGTTTGTCTAGTTCATTTGCGTTCCTTGATCACACCAATAAAAGTCATTTTCAATTTTCACGCCTTGCAAAAGTCGGAGGTACTTTCTTTATTAATTAATTATAAAAAGCCAGCTTACAGAGGGCATTTATGTGGTTTGCGTACCCAAGTATTTTTGTTAGGAATTGTCTTCTACTATTTTGTCGAAGTTTTTGTTTCCTACTATGCCGATGTTTCTGGAGAGGATCCAGATAGGTTCGGTATTTGGGAAGTGAGTGAAGACAGGGTTATGGATCTTTACTTAAATGAATTCCTCTAATGTTGATTTTAAGTTAATGTTTCTTTCCAAATCCCACGAACACCAAATTTAAAATTCAAACCAAAAGAAAAACGGCAAGTAAATAATTTAGTTTAATTATTCCAAAATACTCGTACATAAAAGTGACTTTTTCAACAACCGGCTTCCCTATACTTTAAAGCATTAATTTTAAAATTAGCTATTTTAATTCGAACAAAAGCGGAGCGTCCTGCGTAATTTTTCGCCACCAAGGCGGGCCCTCAAAATCCATACCAAGTCCATTGTTTATTGGCCGAAAGTCGGCACCCAGATGGCCAATACTTATTTGGTCGATAGAGCAGTGGCAAAAAGCACTTAGCCTGAGCAATTAGCTTTCCGTCCAACTGTGATGCCGGGAGATATTTCCAAGTGCCCATTTAAACACACGAGATATTTACGTGTTGTTGCTTTTAAATATATATATATATTTGCATAAATTATTGCTTAAATATTTGTTTATACAATTAGTCTATATGCTTAAAACCCAACGCATTCTAAACTCCCTTTTTATCTACAACGGCATCTGATTTCACAACTATATATTTCTGTTTCTTGAAACGGGGTTCTACAAAGGTACTCGTCCATCTAAGGTGAATTGTCGCTGGCCCAGAAACAACATAATCCAGTCTGCGTTGGCTCTATTCCTGTCGAGAGGTTCCCAAGTACTCGCATGGGGGATATCAAAAACGATCTAAAAATTAATTACTTTGTGTCTGAAAATGATTGTGCGACACTTTTATCGGAGTGCATAAACGCTGTGTAAGTGCGATATCAGCATTTGTAAAATAAGATTCGCTAGTTGCACCGTTTCAAAATCCATGGGTCAGACTATTTATTGCTGCTGGTGATTATAAGGCAGTTTTCGTAAGAGCTCAATGAATGATCTCAAAAATGGGCTTTGGAAATGGTAATCATTATGGTTAGGAACTTAACAGGAGTTCCCTCTGGATTTCTTTGTTTTGTCATTAAGTACATCTAAAAGTGATACCTAATCCTCAAACTGACTCTGTGTATATTCGTTTCAGGCTTAATTGTCGGTTGATTTTAGTCGCTTGGCACTCTTTGCGATTTTTCATTTAGCTAATACTCACAAAAAGCAAATCACCCAAAATCAAGTGGATCCGCGGATAAAAGCCGGAATGCATTCCGTTGTCGCGCAGTCTGGTTTTTTTTCTGTGTGGAACCTAACTAAGCACCTCCTCATGACTTCCAGCACTGTGCGCCTCCACTCCATTCCCTCCATTCCATTGGCCCTCCTCGTCCGATAGCACGAATCGTCAAATGTATGTCTGCTGCTTCGCTCCTGTCCTCCTTCTCTGTAAAAATTGCACGAAATGCACTTCATAGCGGAGATGTTGCCAGGTGATGGGGGCTTCCATCAGCAGGCCTGCAAATAAAGAGCAAAACCGAAAGAAACATGAGTCGAGGACTGCTTGTCAACCATTTAAGCGACGCACTAGACCGTGGCCAGTGCACAGTGCTCAACAGCTCCGTTGTCTCAATTAACCATAGCTCCATGTGAGAGGCATTCGTGGGTGGGACAGGGGGATTGGACAGGGGCGGCCTTATCGGCCATCGGGTCCCAGAAAACTGGCTTTCAGCATGCTCATACGTATGTGTGTCGATAGGGGCGGCAAAAAGGGGTCGATTATTTGAATTTGGCTAGGGTGGGTGTGTGTTATTCGCAGCTCGATGGGAAGCTCAAGCGCTGGGATGTGGGTTAAGCCCCTAGTAAATGGAACTCTGCTTTCAATGGAGAACTGAACGTTTCGTGATAGAACATCCACAAGCCACTGAAGATGTATATGAAAATGACAAGTGATCTGCTAAGACGATAGCTCACTTTAAACACCACAATTTACACATATTAGTGCTTTATTAAGCAGGAATGGCTTTCTTTGTTCGTTTCACTTAAGGCCTCTTTTAATTGCACTTGAGCCAATATCGCAAATGCCCTCTGTTTCGAGAGCATATACCCCGAATAAAAATGCCAAACTGTTTTAGCCTCCATTTGAGCCTTGACTCTCAAGATCTATAATCCATATAGGTGCTAAATGTCCAAAAGATTCTTGGATTGCACCCATTGGCTCAGGACGTGATTCACACATTAATACTCGGGGAGCCAAACGAAACACATGACTCAAGAAACAAACTGACAGTGTGTCCTCTTTAAGAAGAACCTGAACCTGTGCTACATGCAGCAGTTAGTTAGGGCAAAAATAGAGCTTTGCTGAATTAAGTTTTTAGGGATGCGATCTGCCCAAGAATGTTTTCCTGCACTGGCGACCAGTTGGCTGGTTGGCTAGGTCAACTCACATGCAGCGAGTGTATCGAGTTGGTTTCGTAGCCACCCTTGCTCTGCATCTGGGTTGAGATCGCGTTGAGGCGGTTGGCCGACAGCTCCACGTCCGCGGACCCGATGTGGCCCGTGTGGACGAAGTTGGTGGGATTGCCGATCATGGACCGGTCGATGCGCAGGCGTTGGTGTGGGCGGCGGGAGGGCGAGCGCTGCTGCTGGAAGCAGCACGAGAACCACTGCAGCCAGATCTCGCCGGTGCTGGCCATCTTCCCCTTGCTCTTGGCTCGCTGGCTGGCGCTGGACGGCGATTCAGTATTCTGGTGTTGCGGGCGATCAATCGTGAGGCAGCTGCTCCCAGCCAGGTTGGCTGTGGCTGTGGGGCGTGGGTTACGCAACTCGGCTCCTAAAACGATCAAATGGCGGTTGAGTATAAAATGTAAGACATCATTTGTAAGCCAAAGAAAGTTGACTTCATACAGTAAATACTATATTTTTTCATTGTGCTATTGAGCAGCTATTCGGCTACTGTAGGCAAGGATTACGTATAAATGTTGTCATTCAATTAGTAACCCTCAATCGCTACACTTTCAAGGTTGGAGACAATCTTCTTTGTAGATATAGACAAAAATACCTATATAACCATATGGGATGATAATGCAATTAGTCAAATCAGCAGATATAGACAAACGTAACTACATAATCGTATAACCACAGTATTAGGCTTAGATGAACTTTATATTAATAAATAAATATTACAATTTCGCCCACCACTGATGGGAAATAGAAATATGAGTATGCAGTTCCAGCCCAAAGAGGAGCTATGGACCCACATCCATTTGCGTTGCTCCAGAAAACCAGCGGCGTACACAGATGTGCGATTCATTCTGCTGGCATGTTCCTCTCACTGGTGTGGGAGGACTATCCGTATCTGCATGCTGTTGTCTGCTCTACTTGCTGTCCCACTTGTTACCTGGCTTTTCACTCGGCTACACATTCGCTACAGACTCGGATACAGACCCACAATCAGATGCGGCCACCTTGGCCAGGCATTTGCAGACTCACTCGCAAAACAGAAACAGAAACAGAACAACAGAATTATAAGGCCCGAGGCGTCGCCTGAGAAGCCGCGGAGTTGCGAAAGAAATATGGCATAAAAGCTACAAAAAATCAACAATTAATTGGCACTTTTGTGTAATTAAGATTGAGAGAAAGACAGAAAAGACGCCGATGAAGGAACCAGAAAGCAGACGGGATTTCAAAGCTATCACTCGTGATCTTCGTGGTCTGCTGGCTCAACTAGTTCGGGTTCTGTGGAAGATCTTGTTTGCGTCTTCTGACTGGATCCGCTTCAATTGTAGAGTTGTTATCCCCAAGACAACTGTATAAATACCGAAAGTTATATGGCTACATCAGCTGTTCTCGACGACACAATATCCAAAACAAAATACGGGCAACTGTTTTCAAAAATATATGGGCATTCGTCACTCAAATTTAAAAGGCAATTGGTTTTATTATTGAACGTATTAAACATGCCAGGAAGCAATTTCAAATTTGTATATCGTATGCTTAAATTCTAGCCCACGATCTAACCTTGACTTTTACATTCATTAAATGTTCTGAGCTGCTTTTTTATAAAGTAAACCAAACTATTTACTATCTATCTTAGTGTAGAAGTCAGTAAGTAGTTGAAAGTAACTACATGAAGTTGATTCTTCCCTTTCCTTCTAACGGACTTCCAATGACGGGCATAGCCTGCTCCAAACTTCTTGGGCTTTCTACGCGTGTTGCGCAGTCTTTCTTCTGGCCACTGGGCAATTAAAGCTGCTCAAGCGTCTTTAATGCGGAGTGAAACCGAAATGAAAGTGCCAGGCGGCAGGGCAGCGATGTGGAGTTGGAACACGCTGATGGTGGCCACGGCGACGGTTGACGATGGAGATGGAGCTGGAGCTGGAGCTCGGCCCGGCTTATTGTAGCCAACATATCTGCACTTTCCGAGAGCGAACGCTAACGTTATTATCTCAAATCGCGCTGCGACGCGTGTCACACAGCTAAATGGATACACAGTAAGAAATCATCTCGCAGCTCGAACAGAATCACATTGATTGCAAGTCCCTCAACAAAATGACAAATTTGTAAATGGTTTTAATTGGGGATATGTTTCTTCCGTGCTAAGGGAATTTCGGTACATTCAATCTAAAGGATCTTCATTCAATCTTTCCTCTATCTAACAAAAAGTACATGTTTAAATTATATACTAACTGAAGCAATTGTTTAATATTTCAGCTTTCAAATTAATGTTTAATTTGATATTTGGCGCTACCTTAATGTCACTTGCAATTATCCTAAACTGCAGTGTGGTATGCGTATTAAAATTCGAAGGAATAACTCAAATGATGTTTCTATAATTGTAAATGAAATGCGTACTCCACTAATTTTCCTCTGTATGCGAATAACTCGGCCACAAACACAGCTACGCAGGAATAATTGACGGAATGGGGGAATGAATGAGCGACTGACGAGGGCCAAATGCGCTAAAGCGTTTCAATTTTCTGTGTCAAAAGCTTATTAAAAGAAGAGATAACCAAATATCTGCACCGAAAAAAACATCTTGAAAAGACTAATACAATAGCCATGCATGCAGATATAAGATCTTTCTTTTTAGTCAACCCAACGCAGGTAAAAAAGACTTTAATTTAAGCACACGACATCGAAGTCAGGTGGTATTTGTTCCAGTGTAACAAACAAATGCAACAGTTTGTATTTGAAGGTACGCACGTTTTCCTTCGCCTGTTGTTTTCTCATTTAGCCCGAACTCGAACTCGATCTCAAACTCAAGTGCTTATCAAACCCGTCTGCCGTTTTAACATACATATGTAAATACGAAGCATTTATGCGCAGACTAGCATAAAGACTCACTCACTATAGACAGCATTTCTATTTGAAAATCGAAAGCTGGACAAGCGCTAATTAACCATCGAGATCGGGTGACGTACTTATCCGGTGGCCAGAGATTTTCCAAGGGGGATAGATACAAGCCAATCACAACAAAAAACCCCGACAGACTGGGTGTGCGTATTTGCCATGTCTACTGCAAATTACTTTGCAATAATCATAAACAAATGGATTCCCGCGCTGGCTGTCGGCTTTTTCGCCTGCTCCCGCAGTCGTTTATAAGCATTTTCGTTTTTTTGGGCCTTTGCAGTGCTGACATCATCGTCGACGTTGCTGCGATCGGGCGGGGTTATTGAATCTTGACAAAAAGCGAAAAGTGGGCGAACTCGAGTAATTATAATTACACTTAAGGAGCTTAAGACCCGTTGTCTCTCTCGAAAATGGAACTTTTCGGAGATGGAAATCGTTTCGTTGAATAGCCGAAGTCGAATACTATTTAATAAATGTATATAAATTAACTACATCTAGAATTGGAAGCCAAATTATATATTTTATTGCATAGAAATCATATTTTGTAAATATCAATTCGTATGTGGTAAAGTCTCGTCTAAGAATGTGCATACTTTTGAATGCCACATTTCTAGATCATTAAAAAGTTCGCCCTGGCTAACCATTTCAGTAATAAATTTAGTCAAACACACAAAACTCGAATTTAGAATTAAAAATACAATCAACACTCTTCCATAATCGTGGATTTGTGAAACTTGACCCAAAAACTCCCCCAGATAAACGGAAAGTCGCTCGTAATTTGGCAAATCCCCGACGATTCACACGCGCCAAAGTCATTGGGTCTTTTGCAATTCCTCCCCCACGGCGGAAATGAATAGTCTGCAAAGTGAATAAATGCCTGGAGCGGGAAACCACATCGAAATGATGTACCACCATCAGGTTATATCACTTTTGGGCACAACAGGCGACAAAGAAAGGGGCAGGGCATGCTCGAATGTCGAATGCACGACGTCGATGTCGATGACAACATGCTTTGCATATGAAAAGGGAGCCCGGGGTTCAAGAAACCAATAAACGGAGTGTAAAGTTAATTTCCAAAGGGCTCTTAATCGAATAGTTTAAATCAGAAGCATTGTGCTGCGCAGCATTTCCATTGTTTCCCCCAGTTCTTCTTTATTTACAACTTGCGGCTTGTTTCACAATAATCACTAAAGAACACTCGTTGCACTCCACAATCACTTCGGGTGACTCATCATCGTCTCCTGATCCATCGAACAGATACTGACCACCGCATCGGCAGCTGTACGTATAGCTCCACATTGTCGCCGGCCCTTTGTTTGCATCGGATTCTGATTCAGATGCTCGGGAGGGAGGTGGAGGTACCGGTGCCTCGTCGTCTTCTTCGATTTCCACTTGGATCCGCTGCATTTCATCCAGCACGACGGTGGCGTATATGTTGCTATGTGCTCGGAATTTCGACTGCAGCAGTTCAGCGTCGTAGTGTTTGCGCCTAATGGGATCTTTCAGTGTGTTCCACGCCGCGTTTATCGCATTGAAGTCACTGTTCTGGGCCTCCGATCCCGGATTTGGGTCATCGAGCTGCCGCAATTTGTCGGGATGACATTGTAGTATCAATTGTTTGTAGCTGCACTTGATCTCCTCGAAACTGGCCGTGGATGGCACATTCAAGAGTTCATAGAAGTCGGGCATCTGAAAAGGGAAATGCGTGAAGTATTTGTATTGAAAACATAAATATCTTTATACTTACTTTTAGTCTAAGGTCTCCTATCACTCATATGTATGATTTATTACAATTTAAGCCACTTCAACACTTTCTTTGCAATCAATTTTCAAAAACCACACACATGTTCACTATTTAACAAGTTCATAATTTGATGTACCAATACTTCAATGATTTAATGATTTACTTAGTAAATGGTTTATGTTAGACACACTAATCTGAATGTTTAGTTTAGGTAGTTACAAAACTTGGCAAATGGCCAAGTTTGTTTGTTTCTCAATTTGAGTTTGTTTCTCAATTTAAAGCTTAATTCTAGATGAAAAAATGTTTCCGAATTTGTTAATTCTTGATTCTCCGTAAAAAAAATATGATTAAAAAGCGTGGTGTTTGCCAACACTAAGATTATAATGATGAAAACAGCTGTTTGTTGTTTACATGGAACGCGACGCTCGACGGAATAAATAACAGTTAATTTAATCAATGTGAAAACGGCACCCCCATCTCACGCACACAGTCACACCCACACACACGACGCCTTTGTTGCTGGAAAAACGGAAATGTCGCCAAGAAAGGAGTGTTTTCGTGATTGTGAGCGTGTATTTTATATTTTTGCTGCTAGGTGGCGATAAACATTTATGCTTACAGAAACAAGAGCTGGAAAATGCATTGCATGTCCGCCGGTCATAATTTCCCACCCCGTCCGTAGATGCCGTTCCCCAATCCCCCATAAAAGAGAAAAGTCTTACATATTGTCAAAAGTCAGGCCCCAATTGCACTTGGAGAGCCGAAAACAAGGTCAACAAACTGGTTAGCAGCAGCAGCCAAAAAAAAAAAATACAGCCATATTAACTCGAACACCGAATGTGGCATCGCACACGCTGACCCAATTTCGAAATTAGCGAAAAAGGAAAGGGGCAAACAACTTGCCTCGAGACAGGAACTCTGAGCTAATTAATTAATGGCTGAACATCGGGGCACATACGATTTCCGTGGGTGCCGCCGCTTGCAACTCGAAACTTGCCTTATAAGGTGACGGCTTTCCTGCTCCCAGATCACGTGTCGAAATCTCTTGTTGCTCCGCCGATTTGTTTATTAATTGAGCACCGTTGATTTTCGGGGAGCGAGATGTACAACCCACTAACTTTTCAGAACTTTTTCAGTCTCTTGTTCTCAGCACTTTTTCGAACACCGAAACACACGCCTTGCACTCGCCCGCAAATAGCAAATGTCGTCAAGTGAAGCTGTATTCAGCCAGCACTTAACTCGCGTTTATTCACTGCGTCTCAGGAGTTGCAAGTAGCGCGTTTAACGTTTGCGGCAGACAAATGTATTTAAACTTTAAAAGTTTCTAGCGATGGATGAAAACACCGATGCAGCGAGTATCGATTTTTTTGTTATATCGATGGTAAGCGATGTATCGAGTCTTCGATCGACAGACATGGGCAATTAATCTAGTGGCACAAAGAAATTAAGCGGGTATTACAGATAAAACGTCTAATTTTTAGTAAGCCATATTGCGGGTTCCAGAGAAATATATCTTCAACGTCGAACGAATAGAAAAGCAGAAAAAATGAAGAGGTGGCGATGACAGGTAGGTTTGAGTCTCGGCTAACTAAAAATGTGGCAATGTAGATACGTCACTCCGAACTAGTTCCGATCTCCAAAGCAACCCTGCGCAGTGATGGTCCAACTGTCAACGCAACTTCCGCCTTCTTTCCGTGCGGTTCGTAAAAATGACTGGTTTAACGAACAGGGTAAGTGCCCAAAAAGGCAAATAAAACGGTGCGAGACTTAAGCAAATGTGTGAAAGGCATTGCGCGCAATAGTGGCCAACAGTGCGAGTGCTCAAAGTAGCAAACCAGGGGCGCGAAAGTGCTGTTTTGAGTGTTCGAAAGGGCGTCTCGCCTTACACGTGCCGTACAACTGGGCATCTGTGCAAACCTGGAGTGAGCTGGTAGCCCAAGGCTAAAAAACAGTGAAATGAATTGGTTGCTCCTGAAAACAACGTGTCTCGGAATAATAGTTTGCCACACACATTTGTTAATGCGCTTGCGGGCAATTCTAACCTCCTCCCACAGTGCTCGAATTGTTTTCTAATTTAACTTAAATTTTTTTCCACTTCAGACCGTTGTTATTGATGGTCGCGGCCATTTGCTCGGCCGCCTGGCCTCTGTGGTGGCCAAGTACCTGTTGCAGGGCGGCAAGGTGGCCGTGGTCCGCTGCGAGGAGCTGAACCTCTCCGGACACTTCTACAGGAACAAGATCAAGTTCCTGGCATACCTGCGCAAGCGGTGCAACGTGAACCCGGCCCGTGGTCCATTCCACTTCCGTGCCCCGTCTCGCATCTTCTACAAGGCAGTCCGAGGTGAGTACACCCATCCTTCGCTACCCACAGGAGTGTAGTTGAGTTCAGCGCAGTTCCATGATGTTTTCAAACCTTATTACCTACATTATTTGAACAAGAAACCGTGTAAACAAAAAATTACTGAGATATACTGCTAAAGCTGCTGCTGCTCAAACTTCGAATACCCAACAATTCAGTCACTAATCCTTCTTTTTTCTCTTTTAGGTAAGCAATGAAAACTGTTTGGAAGTTGCCCCATCCGACATGATGAATACTACATTCTTACCTACATTATTTGAATGAGAAACCGTGTAACCAACTCTCAACTGATGCTTTCACCTAGCTAAACCTCCCGCCACAATTGTGAATCCCTGACTAAGCGGCTATTTTATTTTCTCCATTCCAGGCATGATCCCACACAAGACCAAGCGTGGCCAAGCCGCCCTCGCCCGTCTGCGTGTGTTCGACGGCATCCCATCGCCCTATGACAAGCGTCGCCGCGTCGTCGTGCCCATCGCTATGCGTGTGTTGACCCTGCGTTCCGACCGCAAGTACTGCCAGGTCGGTCGCCTGTCGCACGAGGTCGGCTGGCACTACCAGGACGTGATCAAGAGCCTGGAGCGCAAGCGCAAGGCCAAGCTCCGTGTTACCCTTAAGCACAACCGCGAGCTGAAGAAGCTGACGGTTAAGGCGCGCGAGAACATCGCGAAGGCCGCCGAGCCCTTCAACAAAATCATCAAATCCTACGGCTACGAGGTTTAAGGACAACAACAAGGGCAGAATTACATACGTTCAGATGCGTAGAAGTTTTTTAAAAGAGAATAAAACAACATCTAGTTTAAAAAACAAATTCGTCTTTGAGGGTCTCATATTTGTTTACAAACTGCTGATCAGTTTGGCTTGTATATTTTTTTAATGTGGTTATACTTATTAAAAGCTAGTATCATTCACAATGTAATAAGCAGCCGTGTTCCAATTTGTTTGGAGTGACGAGTTAAATCTAAAAGATTAGCGCAACTTTACGGAGCTCCATTAAATTTAAATATACATATATGTATGTAGCATATAGGAAACTGGCCTTTATTATTGTAAGGTACTGATGTACAAATGATTGTAAGAGCAATATCTAAAATAGCTTTCACAATATCAGCGAGTTCTGACACTGATACCTATGTTTTAGCTTTATTTCCAAATCATTCAAAAGGTTTGCTATGTCTTCATTATTTGGCTCCATATTTTCAAATGATTTCAAAAACTCCTTTTCGGATTCCGCGGTTTCCTTGCTGATACTGTTTTTAACTTTACCCGCAGCGTCCATTATTTCCTTCTGGATAATTTGTATTCCTTCAAAAATTTTTTTATACATTTGAAGTGTGTTTTTCTTGACGACATTATCCTTGACGTACTCCTCGTATGCAGTCGCGTTTTGAAGTATTGCGTTCGCTTGCGCTAGGTTCATTTCGTCAGATGATGAGCTGCCTGGCCTGTCCATTTCCTCTCGAAACTCGGTGGCGAAATGTTTCTCCGCATTGGACAGGAACTCCATGTTAGCGGCCCAGGTAACTGCGAAGAGCGACATTCTAAATGTCTGAAATGAACTCAGGAATTGACACAAAATCGTCTTGTCCGCATCGGGCAAAGTGGCGATCGGAGGCAGCGGTGTGGTCTTCGTCCAAAACTCACTGTTCCAGTCGATTGACGGAGAGGTCTCTACGGACCCATCGGAACCCTGGCTCTCTGCTTTTGTTTCATTTAAAGTGGGAGCTCCTGAATCCAGTGGGGCGCCGCAGGTGTAGCTCTGAAATGAAATTACGTCCAGGATCGTACATCCGTTGAACACCTAAAGTTGCGGACTTACCAAAAAAACTACTGCTGCAATTATAAACAAATGCATTTTGCTCCGATGGAAGTATTACTGTGCTGCTTGTAGTTCTGGCCTTTGTTTTTATAGGGAAATATGCAGTAGAAAATAACTTCATATCAGAAACCAGCCACATCCACAGTTCTAGAGTAGGAGAAAGGGAAAGTTTTGATCATGGAAAAAACCAAACCATCTCAGAGCTTAAGCTGTATTAATTGTATATCTTTATAAAACACAAAGCACTCAAAGAAAGGGGAATGCATAGATATCTTAATAAACTATTGCTGGTTTATGTAACTTATGAGGATAAGAGCTTCACTGAGTTCAGTGGAAGAACAGTTTTATATTTATATACATATATCGGAGTTGTAATAAATTAAACAAAACCAATTTCAATCTCTATATAGATATGTGAATGTGAATTATTTTAGTTCTTAATTTTTATTAATACTCATTAAAGGAGCATGTATTCTTTTGAAAAGCCAATTTGAATTTCAAGCGAAACAAGATAAACTCGCCGAAAATATGACCAATTTTTCCAAATATTTTTAATTCCATCCATTTAGGTATTTCTGTATTTCATTTTTATCTATTTCATATCTTTACCCTACCAGAATCGAGTATATTAGATTCGTTAAATAGTAAAGGGATGGATATGATACACTGGTACTTTTGTTCCGTTTTAAGTTTATATATTATAATCAGAGCAGGCCGAGGATCAATTGAAAATATATAAATAATATAAATAATTTTGTGTCGTGACAGTATTTAGATTTCATCAGTAGAGTTGTGCAAAAATGATATACAAAAATAAAGTAATAATAATATTTTAAAGGACTTGAATTAGAATGGCCAATGCCAAAATAAGCGATGAAATAAAACGCGGCAAGAAGAAACGATTGGAGGACCTCCTGGAGCGTACTTACCGCCAGAAGGTGAGGATTGTTCGCGGACTGACTGCTCGACAGGCGAGTGCCACGGATTTCGAGCTGTGCGCCAAGTGGATAAAAGTGTTTAGACGAGCTACCAAGAAGGAGCGCAGGGCGAAGGATTACCTCGTGGAGCTGATTCTTCGCCAGCTGCGGCAAACGGGCCACCTGTCGCTGCCCTTCACCGACCTGGCAAACTGCAGCCTGGACCTGCGCCTGCTCCTGGACGAGGAGGGACGTCAACACCTGCGTCGCTTCAGTCCACGGCAGCTGGTGGCCCCGATGCCGTCGAGCAGCAGCCTGGCCAGGAGGCCGCTCAAGTCGACTTCGTTTGAGTGGAGACGGAGGGTGCGACACCTGGACCATCTGGAAGACCGGTACTGGCGCAAGGAGCAGGAAGTGTGTGAGAGCCTACAGCATACACCCACGAAGTGTCTCAAGCCGGAGCTGCCGCCCTCAGTGTCCAGACCACGGAAACGCGTCAAGACGGTCGGGGTTCAAGCGGATGTCGCAGTGGTCTCGCCACGGGCTGAACGTGATCTCTGCGAGCGCGAGCGAAAGCAGTGCGAGATCCTGAAGCGGCGGGAACGCGACCGCGTGCAGCGGCAGCTCAGGGAGCAGGAACGAGAGCGGCAGAGGACTCTGCAGGCCGAGCAGCAGATGCTGGAAAGGCAGGGTCTGGAAAAGGCGCGTCAACTGCGCGACCGACGATTGCGGGAGCAGCAGCTGAAGGTCAAGGAGCGACGCGACCACGAGCGTCATCTGTTGTTGAAAAAGCGCGAGGAGCGTCGCCTGCAGGAGCAGCGTTTGTGGGCCCAGCGACGACCCAGTACATCCTCTTCCCAGGATGTGAAAATTCAGCAGAGAGCGATTCTGGAGTCGAAGCAAGAGGCTCGACATGATCACGAACATGATCCCCGCTACTTGCCCCAAGCGACCACGGCCGTGCCAGTGGACACTGGCACTACCCAAAGTGCGAGACGGATGCAGCAGTTGCACCTTCGGGCGGAGAACATCAAGCGGAAAGTGCTGGCCTATGAACAGCTCAAGAAATATCATCGGGAGAGGGCGCGGGCGGAACGGGAGCGGCTGGACGGGAATGCGGAGGGAAATGGTCAAAAGCAGCAGCACGAAAAATCCATGAATGTACAGATTAATGCAACAGAAAGAAAAGGGCTTAAAGAAAGAAATGCGGAGCAAGAACTAGAAACTGATCAAAGGAAAGAATTCAAAGAAAAAAGGAAAAATATTCTTAATAGGATAAGGAAGCGACAGGAGAAAGAAGAGTTTGAACGAAGAAATTGCCCAAAAGCAGAAAATGATAGCAAAGAAAATGATAAAATTGATCGACGGGATCAGAAGAATAGGGAGGAATTCGAGAGAAAGCGGGAAAGGGACGCTAAAATCCTTAAGGAACGGCAGGAAAGAGCAGAGTTTGAAAGAAAAGTTTGGAAAAAACTAGAAACCGAGCGAAGAGAACGGGAAGAGTTCGAAAGAAATAGGCAAGAGGAGCTCAGGATTCTCAAGGAACGTCAGGAAAATGAAGAGTTTGAACGAAGAGAATTGGAAAAAAAATTAGATGCCGATCTTAAACAAAAGGAAGAATTGGAAAGACAGCGAGAAGATAAGCGTAAAGAACTCCGAGATAAAGAATTGGAGAGAAAAATTTTCGAAAAACTAGAAGCCGATCGGAAAATACGGGAGGAGTTCGAAAGACAAAGGCAGGAAGAACTCAAAAATCTCAGGGAACGCCAGGAAAAAGAAGAGTTTGAAAGAAAAGAATTAGAGAAAAAGCTGGAAGCTGAGCAAAAACAGAAGGAAGACATAAAAAAATTACGAGAAGAGGATTTGAAGTGTCTGAAATCACTCCAAAGCAGAGAAGAATTTGAAAGGCAAGTTTTGGAAAAACTAGAAGCCGAGCGAAAGGAAAGGGAAGCATTCGAAAAAAAGACTTGCGAAGAACGTGAACGAGAGGAGAACAAAATTGAGGAACTTAAAAAAAAATTCAAGGATTTACAAGAGCGAGATGCAGAGTGGAATGAGCAACGACTGAATCGAGAACTCGAAAAAAAAGAGCAAGAGTGCGAAAGAATCACCAGAGAAGAAGAAAGACTTAAAGAAGAAATGCTGCTGGAAAAGCTTAAACGCAGCACGGTGGAAAGAGAAGTACGCGAGAGAAAGAAAAGAGAAGATGATCTGCAAAGAGAACAGATCCTTAGAGAGTGGCTTCAAAAGCAAGAGCAACAGGAAGACAGGGAAAGAGAAGAACGTGAGAAACGTGAAGAGATAATTATGGAAAGCATAACTGCAGACGGCAATAAACACAGGGAACAGGAGGAGGCTGAGAAGAAGGCCCGAGAGGAACTCGATCGATTACCAAGGCAGAGACAGGAAGTTCAAAAGTTAGAAAAAGAGAACCCGAAAAAAGTCAACGGACAAAAAAACGTTTGGACACGATACGAAGAGGAGCGCGATCGACGTTACCCAGAAAGCCCGAATCAGGAGGAGATGGAGGGGGACTCAAGAATTCAGGAGAGGCACATGGTAAGTCGACTAGGAGTTCACAAAGGAGGGGTGGGACATTTGGGAAAGGAAAAGGACCAAAAGAGAGTTGCAAGCGAAAGGAAATCAAAAAGCTGGATGGAGAATGGGTCTGTGGAGAATTCCCCCGAAGTCACGATGGAACTGGGGCTAACTGGCAGAGATGTGACGAACGTCCATCGAAGTTGTCAGCAACTAGAAGGCAGCTATGAGAATGCCAGAGTTAGGTTGAAAAAGCTCCATGAAAGGAACAACAGGATAATTGAGGAAGTGCAGGGGAAATTTCAGGTGCTTGAGAAGATGCGGCTGGAAGCAGGAAAACTGGAAGCTCGAAATCCTTTGAGCACGCGTTACCCTCTAAGGTCTTTAAATAAGCTTCAATCAAAGAAAGATGCACAGAGACCACCCAGTTCCAGTCACGAGTACTTTCAGAAAAGATCCCAGAAGACGCGTAGCGAGCGATGGGCTCGCTTTATTGAAAGTGAAGAGGAATCCGCAGCGGAGGATCTTCCCGGTCAGGGTCGAAACTGCGTCGTCCTCTCTAGCAGCGGAAGCGATACGCTTCCGGATCCCTGTTACTCCCTCGTCGGCAGGTACTGTCCGCTCACGAAGACCTACACGGTGGAGCACCAAACTCCTCCACCCATCCGAAATCAAGACTCAGCGCAGCGAGAAGCCTATGGCTCCTATGTACTCAACCGGGTGGCCGATTGGCGGAAGACGTCACCAAGTTTCCACTCTACTGACGAGGCAGAACCGGGCGACGAACGTGGACGATGGGGCGGCAAACCAAGTGGCATTGGCTTGACTTACTGCACACGAACTGGAAGGAAGCGTTTTCCGCGGATCAAACGTTCCGATATCAACCCCGATTCTTGTGGGCTGAAGGAGGATCGGGTGCAGCAGAGACGGGTTTTCGGACAGCTTCTATCGCAGGCACGGACATTTGGTTGCTGTCCGGAAATATTGAGCGCGGAGAACTGTCTTCTGGAGAAAAAACTGGCTAGAGCTAAAAACAAATATATTCAGGAGTCAGTTCTGCGAGTGTCAAGGTATGTCATAAGAGTATTCCAGAATGACAATGCTATTGAGAGTTCCGAGGAAGAGAATGAATCTCTAGAAAATAGAGAGCTCGAGCAGATCTATCTGCAAGAGACCGATGCCACATTGCTGATTCCCAGGCCAATCTTTAAGACTCTCATGTTGACTCTGCTTACATCCAACGAGTCGATTTCGCCCTATCTCTCGGAGAAGATTACCAATTTGGAAGTCCAGTTGACGGCTTACCTCAAAAAGATTTCTAGCCACGCATTTGCACGAGGTGCTCGAGCTCTGAGGCGAAAGGTCAAGCACTTGGTGGACCAACAGCGTCAACTACAAAGCCGTCGCCTGGCCGAGATATGTCGCGATTCCGAGGAGCAGACTTTTGGGTTGTGGAGGCGGCTGGCCAGGAGCAGTGACTCCTTCCGCGGGATCAGGGATCTCTTTCGCAATTGCTGTGACCTGCGTGACCCAATGTCATGCGTCGCTCTCCAAAACATCGAGCGCCTCTACAGGGAATGGAAGGATCAGCGGTTTGCTGTGGATTAGAAACAATGTTGATTTCATTTTCTCGTTTAAAATAGTTTCAGCTTTCGTTCTGGTTAAATTTCGATCTTGCGTTATTTAAAGCAATACTATTGGCGTTTTAAAAATGGTTTTTATTTGTGTGGGGCAGTGGCTTGCTGAGGAAAATGACTCAGCACTCCAGGACTCAGAAAAGAGGGAAGAGTTCTCCATGCAACAGAATTTTGAACGTTCTTAGAACTCGTTAATCGATTAAAATGAAAAACGAAGTACGATTCTAAGGAGCCCGAGTTCCCATATCTATTAAAACTGTAAAACTACCGCTAAATAATTTAAAAATGATATTTCACCGGCGGCACCTTTTGAAAATCCTAACTGTTACAGAGCTTTTTGAAAAGCTTTTCCGGCACAGCTGATGTGGAAAGCTGCCATTCGCCACCTGGAACGGCGCTTCTCAGATCTGTCTATCGTTTCCAGTGATCAACCTTCGCTAAGCGTAACCAAAACACCCCACGATGTCATCCTTTAAGGACAAAGTGATTATTGTGACCGGCGCCAGCTCTGGCATCGGAGCAAGTGCCGCCGTCTACTTGGCCAGACTCGGAGGGCTCCTGGTCATCGTGGGCCGCAACGTGGAAAAGCTGAAGGAGACGGCTGACAACATTGTGGCGGCCGGAGGAGCCCCGCCCTTGGAACTGCAAGCAGACATGACCCAGGAGGCGCAGGTGCAGCAGATAGTGGACGCCACTCTGACCAAGCATGGCCGCATCGATGTGCTCGTTAACAATGCGGGCATCCTGGAGACCGGCTCCATTGAAAGCACCAGCCTGGAACAATTCGATCGCCTGATGAACACTAATGTGCGGTCCCTGTACCAACTAACCATGCTGGCCACTCCGGAGCTGGTCAAGACCAAGGGCAACATCGTGAACGTTTCCAGTGTCTGTGGACTGCGCGCCTTTCCTGGTGTCCTGGCCTACAATGTGTCTAAGGCGGCGGTGGACCAGTTCACGGCCTGCGTCGCCCTGGAACTGGCCCCCAAAGGAGTCCGCGTAAACGCCGTAAATCCCGGCGTGATTGTGACTGACATTCACAAGCGTGGCGGCATGGACGAACAGACCTATGCCAAGTTCCTCGAACACTGCAAGATTACCCATGCCTTGGGTCGTCCTGGGGATGTCAAGGAGGTGGCCGCCGCCATAGCCTTCCTGGCCAGCGATCAGGCCAGCTTTACCACTGGAATTAGTCTGCCCGTCGATGGAGGTCGCCACGCCATGTGCCCGAGATAGGATAAGGATGAGCTAATGGAGAGAAACCATGCATTTATCGAATTTTTAAAGTATACATATAAAATACATCTGCATCTTAAAAAAGTCTAATTTATATTAATATAAATTTTTTGGATTTTTCTTTTCATAATAAACTAATATTGTGAGTACGTAATGTATGCATAAATATGTATAATCTATTATTATCTTGTTCTGGGATCACAAACAACAATGTTTTATTGTCATGTCAAAATGTAAGTTGTTTAAAAGATTCCAGGATAGGAATGTTGCTTCAATGATCGCATCAAATGACATCCAAATATTACAACATAAAACATTAACTGCCATACATACACAATTTATAGAAATTATGAAGGCAATTATAAATAGGATCACCGCGATCACTCAGCCATAATATACATACATATATGGTATTTGGAAAAAACAAATTAAGAGTTAATTAACACCAGTAACTTTACTCGAATTTCACAACCGCTGGAAATACTTATGGCGGTACCAGACTATCGATAGAGTAATCGGATTGCAGCCCGAAAATTGTTGACTTCTGGGTCTTCAATGTCACCAGCCATTATCACTTCAGCCGAAGAGCGGATCGCTTCAACATGCCTAGTTTCAAAGATAAAGTCATCATCGTGACCGGCGCCAGTTCGGGAATTGGAGCGGGTACTTCAGTCCTCTTGGCCAAACTGGGCGGCCTGCTCACCATCGTGGGCAGGAATGTGGACAAGCTGAAGGAGACCGCGGAGCAGATAGTGGCGGCTGGAGGAGCGCCTGCACTGCAGGTGGCGGCGGACATGAACAGCGAGTCGGACGTCCAGGGCATCGTATCCGCCACGTTGGCCAAGCACGGACGCATCGACGTGCTGGTAAACAACGCCGGGATCTTGGAGCTGGGCAGCATCGAGAACACCAGTCTGGAGCAGTTCGACCGCGTGATGAACACCAACGTGCGGTCGATCTACCAGCTGACCCACTTGGTCACACCGGAGCTGATCAAGACCAAGGGCAACATTGTGAACGTGTCCAGTGTCAACGGCATCCGTTCCTTTCCCGGGGTCTTGGCTTACAATGTTTCCAAGGCTGCCGTGGATCAGTTCACCAGGTGCGTGGCTCTAGAGCTGGCTCCCAAGGGTGTCCGTGTAAACTCCGTGAATCCCGGCGTGATCATCACCGAGCTCCAGCGTCGAGGTGGACTGGACCAGGAAGCATATGCCAAGTTCCTGGAGCACGCCAAGATCACCCATGCCCTAGGTCGCCCCGGCGAAGTCAAGGAGGTGGCTGCGGCCATTGCCTTCCTGGCCAGCGATGAGGCCAGCTTCAGCACCGGAATCAGTCTGCCCGTGGACGGCGGTCGCCATGCCATGTGTCCCAGATGAGAATTGAGTTGTTTGTTCGTGATGCATTTACCTGCCACCAAAGTTTGGGTGGCAATTGTTACAAATATTAAAGGAAAAGAAATATATGTATTTAAAGAAGCTTGTCTTCCAATACTTTTCTTGTCAAGGATATGATTTAATGCAAATTAATAGTTCGCTAGTGATAGATAAAATCAATTTGAGCACTTCTTGAGAACAAATAGAATATTTTTAAATATTAAAGGGAAATAAGGGTCTTTAAAAAGGGTTTAAAAGAAAATCGCGCTTTAAAAATTAGCAACGTACGAAAGTTTTTATTTAATACTTAAAATTTGAATTGGTAGTAATGGACTGAATGGGCGGGAAACAAGGGAAAAGGAAACACATTCGTCTGGACAGGATCCTAGCAGGGACTAGCGGGGGCACATGACCTGTTTGCCACCGTCCACAGGAAGGGTCACGCCGGTCACGAAACTGGCCAGCTCGCTGGCCAGGAAGCAAATGGCGGCCGCCACCTCAGTTGGCTCCCCAATCCTACCCAAGGCGTGGGTCTTCTTCGAGTGCTCCAGAAATTCGGCGTAGCTCTGCTCGTCCATACCTCCAGCCTTTTGCAGATTGGTGCGAATCACCCCCGGATTGACCGCATTCACCCGGACGCCCTGGGGACCCAGGTCCAGGGCAAGGGAGCGGGTGAACTGGTCCACCGCCGCCTTAGACATGTTGTAGGCCACCAGATTGGGAAAAGCGCGCAGTCCGCAGACGCTGGACACGTTGACAATGCTGCCCTTGCTCTGGAGCAACTGGGGGAGCAACAACTTGGTCAGGTAGAACCCAGGCCGCACATTGGCCTCCATCACGTGGGTGAAGCAGGACAGTTCCGTGCTCTGCAGTGTTCCCGTGGGCATGATGCCCGCCCCATTAATCAGCACATCAAGCCTGCCTTCGTAACGCTCCGTGGTCTTCCGCGCAATGCACTCGATCTCCGCCGGCTTGAGCAGATCTCCGGCTATGCCGTAGGGCTCGAGACCCGTCTTCATGCACCGTTTCATCACGCATATAAGGCCATCCTCCTCCCGATCCACCAGGGCCAGGCAGGCGCCCAGCTTGGAAAACATTTCCGCCGCGGCGGCCCCGATCCCAGAGGCTGCGCCCGTGATAAGCACCACCTTGTTGGAGAAGTCCAAACCAGCCTTGCCCTTGCTGCCCATCGAATCGAAATTCCAAGTTTCAAGTGGATATCCAAACTACATACGTATGTATGTCCATATGTAGGTGACTTATCGAGGAAATATAACCCTGATCATTAAAAACGTGATCTAGGTTCTTAATCTGATTAAAGCTGTTTTTATATCAATAAGTAATAATAGTATCGAAAAATACAACTGCAACTGTACGTTTCTAACTAAACAAGAATTTGGAATAAAGAGCTCGAATATGTCCAAGGAAATCTTCAATATTACAAATTAAATGACAGAAGTGATTAATTACCTTATAATTCCAATCACGTTCAAGAATATTACTTTAATCTAAAGCTAATTTTTGGGAAACTAGTTGAGTTCTGAACACAGATGACTAAATAAATGGTAATCAGTTTTATATAAAAAGCAGAGTAACAAATAAAGATACCGCTTAAATGCATTTAAAACAGTCTAAAATTGCAATCGCCGATATCCAGTAGATTTAGCGTGGGCACATGGCATGGCGACCTCCGTCCACCGGCAGGCTGACTCCAGTGCTGAAGCTGGCCTGATCGCTGGCCAGGAAGGCAATGGCCGCAGCCACCTCCTTGACATCTCCAGGACGACCCAAGGCGTGTGTGGTCTTAGAGTGCTCCAGGAACTTTTTGTACGTCTCCGCATCCATGCCGCCGCGGGCATGCAGGTTGGTGACCGTCACCCCGGGATTCACGCAGTTCACCCGGACACCCTTGGCAGCCAGCTCCAACGCCACGCAGCGGGTGAACTGATCCACGCCCATTTTGGATATGTTGTAGGCCAGGACGCCGGGGAAAGAGCGAATCCCATTGACACTGGACACGTTCACGATGTTGCCCTTGGTCTTGATCAGCTCGGGGGTTGCCAGCATAGTCAGGTGGTAGATCGCCCTCAGGTTGGTGCTCATCACGCGGTCGTACTGCTCCAGGCTAGTGGTCTCGATGGTGCCCGTCTCGATGATGCCGGCATTGTTGATCAGCACGTCCAATTTGCCGTACTGCTTCAGGGTCTCCGACCAAATCCTCTGGGTGTCCGCATCCTTGGCAATATCGCCCACCACCAGGGCTGGCTGCGACTGGCTCACCTTGCTGCACTCCGCAGCTACCTTCTTGAGGTTCTCCACATTGCGACCGTTAAGGGCCAGGCAGGCGCCGTACTTGGCAAACTTAATGGCGGTTGCAGCTCCGATTCCAGAACTTGCTCCCGTAATTAGGACCACTTTACCGACGAAATTCATGATCCAAACCAGAATTATGTAAGGGGATCTCAAGCTTAGTGCGCATCTTGCTGGTTTTAATAGGGGTAGTCACCTAGATAAAATCAAAAAATTTAACTGGGAAAGAATTTAATTTATGTGAATGGGGAATAACAATGTTAAAATCTTATTTTTCTCTCCTTTTCCATAATTTCATTGCTTTATTGACAGGATTTTTAAAAACCGGAGTGATTGAAACAGTAAACACCATTTAAAAAAGCTTAATTAAAAGTAGTTTTAAGCAAACGACAAAGATTGTTACTATAAGAAAAACATACTTTTGGTATGCTTACTTATCCTTACTTATTTATATATATCATTTAAATAAAAAAATTAAATTTTGGTATTTTTTAAATGTTAAATCTTGGTATCTTCCTTATGTTTGCTTGGTATATTTTAACGGATTACCCGGTCTCACTTACGTGATCATGTAAACGAAATGCGAGTTTTAGGGAAGTGCAATATTTTGGTCAGGCAAACCCGTAACTTATCCACGCAATCGGGCCGCCGGAGAGTGGTGGTCACGGGAAGTGGAGCAGTCACTCCGCTAGGCAACAATGGACCGGATTCCTGGCGACGCATCCTGGCCGGCGAGTCGGCCATCTCTCGTCTGAGTCCGGAGTTCAAGGGCTTGCCCTGCCAGGTTGCGGCTCAAATCTCGAGGGAAAGCCTACAGCTGGACCAGCATCTGACCAAGTCTGACATTAAGCTGATGAGCCCCGCCACGCAGTTGGCCGTATTGGCGGCGGAGGAGGCCTTGGCCACCGGAAAGCTCTGCCCCAAGCAATTGAGCGAGGAGCAGCTTGAGCGGTTTGGAGTATGCGTGGGCATGGGTATGTTCGACCTGGCAGAGGTTTATGGAGCCTGGAATCAGCTACAACGGGGCTACAACAGAGTAAGCCCCTTTTTCGTGCCCAGGCTGTTGCCCAGCATGGCGTGTGGTCACATAAGCATGCGACATGGCTTAAGAGGACCGAACCACTCGGTGTCCACAGCCTGCGCCACAGGTGCCCATGCCCTGGGGGATGCCATGCGGTTTATCCGCAGCGGAGATGCCGATGTGATGTTGGCGGGGAGTGGTGAGGCCTGCATAGATCCCCTCTCCATCGCTGGATTTTGCAGACTGCGGGCTTTGAGCACCGCTTTTAACGATAACCCAGCGGTTGCGTCCAGACCGTTTGACAAATCTCGGGATGGCTTCGTAATGGGCGAGGGCGCAGCTGTGCTCCTGCTGGAAGAACTGGAGCACGCCCGCGCTCGGGGAGCTCCTATTCTAGCCGAGATTCTGGGCTACGGATTGTCCGGCGATGCCTACCACATAACCTCGCCAAGCGATGACGGCGCCGGAGCCACTCTTGCCATGAAGCGGGCAATACAGGATGCTGGGATCGCACCAGAGGATATTACCTATGTAAACGCCCACGCAACATCCACGCCCACTGGGGATCGCATTGAGTCACACGCTATAGGTCGTGTTTTTGGGAATCATACTTCCCAGGTGAGGGTTTCATCCACCAAGGGAGCACATGGCCACCTTCTGGGCTCCTCCGGCAACCTGGAAGCCCTTTTTGTGGTGCTCGCCTGCGCGCATAACAAGCTGCCGCCCTCCATCAACATTGAGCACCTCGATGTGGACGTCAATGTGGTCACGAAAGCTACTGAATGGTCATCGGACCAGAAACGGCGCGTTGCCCTCAAGAACTCATTCGGCTTCGGAGGAACCAATGCTTCCCTTTGCATTGCTAGCTACATTGAATAGTAGCTAAGAGTTACCTATTTTTTAAAGACCCACGTAAATAAAATCCTTGAATGTTTGCATATTTTTAGGAAAAATGTTTAGTTTTAAAACTTTATTTGGAAAACTTTTTCGGTTGCTTGTCTGGCCGTTACGTCGTCGTCTTCGTCAGTTTCTTGCTCTGTAAAAAGGATTATGCGTACTGTTCTTATCCAATGCGCCATGTATGAACTGTTATACTGTATATCTGTATATAATATATATATAGGTATATAATTATGTATATAGCTCTGTTTGATTTGCTTCTGTTGCTTGTCTCTCTGTTTGTTATTGATGTTTTGCTGCTTGAATTCGACGCCTTCTGGTTGAAAGCAATGGAGTTTGTGGAAAATTAAGGTAAAATCAATAGCTGATGACTGGTTTAGCTTTCGCGCGGCTTCTGCTGTGGTCATGGGCCTGAATTTGACAATAGTTGCAGCTTTCGATCCGTTTTCTTATCTAATCGTTTAAATTGAAGTGTTTTTATTTTACAAAATTGCTTAGGTCGTAAAGTTAAAGTATGTTGGCTTACAATCGAAACTTTTCATAATCATTTAATTTTATTGGTTTTCTGTTGATGTTCTGCTGGATTCAGCTTGCCCTGCTGCTCTACCTCTAGAGTCTAGACATTCTTTGTTTTCTCGGTGTAACCATACACTTTGGATGTATATGCGGCTTAGACTCTTACTAATTATATGCGTAAATAATATGCTATATGTGGGTGTGGGGTGTGGGGTGTGGCGTGTGGGTGAAGGGTGTGTGCAGGCGTGTGTGTGATAGCTCTTGAATGCCCGAACTTTCGTTTGTTACATAAATTATGAAAATACACTTTATTCGAAATTTATCTTTTTAATTTTAGTTTTTACTGTACAGTTTGTAGTTGACGTTTTTCAATTTTAGTTACAGCATAAATCAATGGGTTTTAATTACTTAATTTTGCACGTCACATTCATTAACAATGTTAAATTTCTCCACTCCCTAATTTAAATCGCTCAAACAATTTTAAATATATCTTTCGGCTTAAAATTCAAATCTGGACAGAAAAATATCTAAAACTTTCGGAGGCCATTCAATTTCATAATTACGTATCTGGTTTTAGCTAGGTTTAGGAAATGAAGGAAAAGTTTGACAGAACATATCTAAGAACTCACATTCACATATGTATATTTAAAAAATCATTGCAAATGCGCTGTGTACTAAGCGAATTAACGAACTTTTGAGTTTCGTGCGTTGAAGCTTGCACCTTCATAGGAAGGTGCAGCCTGCATTCGGTGTGTACTGATTTTAAATTTAAAATATATAAAATATTTATAAATATTTTGTTGTTTCGCGTTCTGATACTGTTACTACAGACCTTAACACTTACTATCTTACTATTTGTTGTTAAAAAGACATCTATTTAAGCGCTAATAAAGTGGTTTGTGGTTGCTATCGTTTTTTGTTGTCATACAGTGATGCTGTAACTACACTGATCCTAAGTCGAATGCCTGTCCACACGTCTGTGTGCCTTGTGCTGCGGGGGTATGTACATGGCAAGCCCGTCAAACCAGAGAATGCTCCTAGTTGAGCAGTGCATCCATGGTGTATGGAAATGGAGGATGTTGCTGCTCGAATCTATTTGCTGAAGACGATAACAACTTGGTTGCCGATGCTGATGCTGATGTTGCTGTTAGTGTGCTCGCCGGCGACGGTCAGTCCAGTATAACGATTTGCGATTCAATGGGCCTGCTACTCGGCTCGGTCGCCGCAGGTTTAATGGGCAGTGTGCGCCATGGTTTGCGCGCTGCGCGACGCAGATCCACGGCGGAGAGTATTTTTCTCGTTTTTCTGTAAAAAACAAAATATATTATAGGAATTTAATCAAATAAAATAATTTAGAAATTCTTTCTGGTGATACAAATCTATTTTTTCAACATTTTCGATCAACAAACAATTTAGAGGATATTTATAACCAGGATTTATAAAAACGAAGTTATACCGAAGCTCAAACCGAATATGTAATGATGTTACAGCTTCAGAGGACTTACTTGTGTGTATCGTTAGCTCTAAAGTAAACATCGTCCGGTGCATCCATCCAACTGATAACCTGCTTGCGTCCGTTGCCCCCGCGAGCCATCTGCGCAATCTTCTGTTTACCATTGAGCTAAAATAAGCGAATATGTAAAAATCGATTAAAATTAAACCAGCTAAAATAAAAGTATTACTCACATGATGCCTGGAGAGCGGCTGTCCAGATGCCGCCATCATAGCTGCGAACTGCTCAGGACTGGGGCAGTGCGAAGGCATTGGATCCTTATTTGGCCGCTTGGCAGGAGGTCCGCTGGGAACTATAGTAACTGCAAGAGGGGGCACTCAATTAGTCAGAATATAAGCACAATATAAACTTAATCCTCAATCCCATATGAAACAAAAACTACCGCAAAAATAAAGCATTACGTAAACACCCACCTTCAGTGCCATTCAACTGCTGTTCCTCATGTGCCCGCTTGCGTATCGTCGACGTGGCTTGCGTGGGAATTATTGTGAGGTCCTTGTCGGCCGGCACGGCCACGACGTCGGGTGACTTATTCGGTACTCGGTCATATACCAAGCTGCCATCGGGCGCTTTCGGAGGTTTAGGGAACGAGACGACAGCCGGCAGCGGCATCTTGTCCTTGGGCGTCAGTACTAGCCATTCATGCGGTCCGCTGCCCGGCGCACCTAGGCGGTTGGCAATCTTGGTGACGCTACCCCGATCCTTGGGCTTTAGCAAAAGCAACTTCTTGATTTCCGCCTGTGATTTTCCACTAATACGATTTGTAACTAAAGAAACCATATTATATTACAGAGTGGCTCATTACAACTGTCAAAGCTCATGAGACTTACATTCTTGTTTCACCAACATGGCGTTTATTGCGTACGCGCTCTGTCGCGCCGCCTTCTTCGGCTTAACGATGCTACGGCAGATGGCACGCGCCACCCGTGTCATGGGATTGGTGTGCAAGTAAAAGGCAGTGCGCGTCTTCATTATAGGCCGTGGCGATCCGGAGCTGATGGCGATGCCGTGCGCTTGCGCATAATGGCGGGCCAGGTGGGTCTTAAGCTTGAACTCCTTGCCGCAATTGACAATAGAACATCTGTAGGAAGAGAGATTTTAGTAAACACTCGGTCCATAATAATAAGCACTTGAAAGGCAAATAAAAATAGCATGTTTTACTCGTTTAATCTCGAAATTGCACTACATTCAGGCATTTCTTTGATTTAATATGTATTAAAAGGGAATGTTACATTGCCATACGAATTTCATTTATAAAATA